GTTTGATATAAATATAGACTCAATAAGCTTTTTCATGACATCTATCTAAATAATTTACTTTTTCTCACTATTTTAAAAATAAATTTTAAAATACAAAGAGTTTTTGAATGGCTCTTGCTGTATTAAAAATTAATCTTGAAGAGTTTTCCAATGATAAATTATTTGACCCATTGAAATTTAAATTAACAAATATGTGCCATCTAAAAATTTACATTTTAGTTGACTTTATTTATGTTCATTCAGATTTATAAATTGCGTAGTTATACTTTCTCCCTTTTTTTAGCTCGTGAATTTATTTTTATTTATCGGGCAAACTTCTTTATTATATTTTATTTATATTTTTTATTTATTTTTTCAATCATATAATATCTCTAGTTATTTTTATATTTATATTGAATATTTATATTTATTTATATTATAATATATTTTTATTTAATTATTTTTTGAATTATTGATTTTTTAGTAATATTATTATTCTATAAGTTTAAAAAAATTTATTTAATAATATTATATTCTTTCATTAAGGATAATACAATAAAATTGTATAATTTTTCAACTCATTTTTATCCAACCAAACGTAAAATTTTCTATTAACCCATTTTCTATTCCAGTCCTTACCAAACATGCCATCACTTAGAAATTTTTCATTCCATTCCATTCCTTTCTGTTCTAACCAATTCTTTCTACCAAATGGGTACAATTATATTATATTATAAGTTTATAAGCCCTTCTTCCTTTATTATAAAAAACAACTACCAAAATCACCTGGTTCTAAACGTTAATTATAGTTAGTTAAAAGTAATAAATATGTAATATAGTAAATATGTTTTTAATTATACCCTTATTTATAGCGAGTGCATAAAAAATAATGAGTGGATATTAATTGCACAAAGATAATAAGTAATATATGTTTAATGGGGATAAAAGTAAAATGACAGGTTTAAAATTTCAAACAAAGAGAATTTAGTTTTTATATTTAGATACATTATCATGAGATAATGCTTTTTATTAAAAAGGACAGAGGGAGGTAGTAATTAATAGAAGAAATTTTAAATTAAAATCTGCGATCATGCCGCCACTGTCAGAGCTTTCAAATTTCAATGCCATTTTGGTAACCAAGTGGGTCGCACAAATACATCTTAACTCTGCGTGTGTGTGTGTGTGTGTATTATGTAGGTATATTTATAAAATATAGACTCACACAAATTAAATCATATTTTCTTAATTACTATACATATTAATATAGACAGTATCTACATCTATCTTTGTGGCCCATTTTATAGTCATTGGAAGTTTAGAGAAATCAATAAGATGAGAATGAAATGAACATATTTGGTTTGCAAAGATATAAATCGACCCCCACTAGATCGTGGGAGTGCATGTAAATTCTCTTCCCAGTACAGAAAGTAGAGGTTGTGTGTGTAAAATTCGAAACAGAAAGCATCTATTAACATTAATTATTTATGTTGTTAGCCACTGCTACCAAAAACAGATACTACGCGTGGGTCCTTTGAAAAGCTGACATAGTATCTCTACTCTATGCAGATAAAAAATAAAAGAGAGAATGAAGAAATTACAGTCTTATTTGATTTCTTATTTTAGAAAACTTTTTTTCTAAAAATAAAAAAATTGTTTGGTCATTTGTTTTTAATTAATTGTTTTCTAAAAATAAAAAACAAAAGTATGTTTTTAAAAACTAAAAAACCAAAACAATTCTTAGTTGTTTTCTTTTTCTTTTTTGTATTTCTTATTTTTTGTTTGAGAAAATTGAGACATCATTTCTTCTATATTTTGTGAATTTTTCTCCATTTGAAAACTTGAGTTCTAATCAAAACTCTACCCCTTGATCTTAGTATGTTTCTCTTCAAATATAAAATTTTGAAAAAACTGCAAATAAAGACCCCTAATATATAAAATGGCAATTAGGGACCCTGAATTTGGAAAATAGCTGCAAAAGACCTAGTCCCAAATTGCAATTATGAAATGTGTGTTAAATGGCTGAAATACCCCTCACTCATCCTGACTCTTAATGAAGGCAAAGACAAGGATTTTTATGCGTGGCGAGAGAGCTGCTAGAGAAAGAGGACCCCAACGTGTTTGTGTGATATTAGGATGGAAGATCTTCCAACATTGGCAATAATGTGAGTAACTTACTGACTAAACTATTCTTCTATTCTTTCCTATAAGAGTTGCACATTGTGATATTCTTCATCTTCATCTCTACTGTGTGGGTGGGTAGGTTGGAGGAAGGGAGGGAATGGGAGGTGTAGTTGAAGATGAAAGATATCACAATATAGGAGGTTGTGGTTAGTTGGAGGTGGGATATTTTTGTTTTTGCAGTGTGATTGGTCATCTCTCATTTGTAGTGCATGGTGCTGGTTACGATGGGGAAAGGTTAGGAGTGTAGTGGTTTGGCAGAGTATGGGTGAGATAACGGCCATTAGTTTGACTGTGAAGGTTGAGGTGTTGTCGCGGAAGGAGGGAATGATGATGCCGTGATTTTGGGTGTTGAAGTTGTGAAGCCCTAAAATGATGTTGAGAAGACAGGAGGTCACGAGTTTTATTTTGGTATGTAAATGATTGAGTTGATGGAATAAATGTGTAAATATTTATTAGTGAAGCTGATGTACTAACTAAACATAAATTTTTACTACAGATTAGTATGAAAAATGGATTTCAATAACGGAAGAAGCTATGGGAAGGAGTTGTTCTGTTACATGCATGTTGGTGGACATTTTGAAGCAAATTGTGATGGGATAGTTAAATATATTGGAGGGAGTGTAAGGGTAACCAGTATAAAAGAATGGATAACAGTTGAGGAGTTGTGTGGAATAATTTCATAGTAGATAGGCAATGATGGTAGTAGATATCAGATTAAGTATAAAGTTAAATTTGATGAGAGTACATTGATTGGTCTTTGTGATGATGGTGATATCTACAACTTGTTTAGATATAATGACAACAATGCTCATGTGTACATAGGAGGGAAAGGGAATGACAGGGAAACTAGAGCAATGAATGATCCAGACATGTAAGTGGTTATGTTTTCATATTGAATCTTGTTATTTGCTAATATATTGTTGCTAATCCGTATAGAAATGTTGTAACCAAGCTAATGGTGTTGCAGTCCTAAATTGTAATATGTAAATGCAAACATCTTATTCAACATAGTTGACATGTCATTTCCATTTGTAAATTTGTCTTTTAGAAATACAGACTTGTTATTAGACATAAATAGTAGTTTCTATATGTGGACTTGTTATTCAGCATATTGAAGTTGTAATTATCATATACGAACTTGTTATTTAGATTTGCATATGTTATTTTACTGACCAATAGTTTTTATATGGAGACTTGTTATGTGAATAACTCAAGTTGTAATTACCACATGCGGACTTTTTATTTTAGCAACCAATAGTTTGTAGATATAGACTTGTTATTTTACTTACTAAAGTTGTAATAAACTTATGCGGACTTATTATTTAGATATGTAGACATCTTATTTTATTCAAACTTGTTATTTGAATATAGCCATCCTAACTTGGTATTATTATGGTAGGAGTGGGAATTTATTGGGACTCTCAAAAGACATGATGCATTTGAAACGACCATTGGTGATGAACATAAGCCAGTGAATGTTGAGAATAGAGTTGAATGCTTGACTTTTTAAGGGGGTGGATCAAGTCAGAGAAGTAAGTGTAGTGGTTTAGAGAGTCAAAGAACACTGATGGGCAAGATGAATTATATGAAATGGGCAAGAGTGTTTGTAGGAGTGGGTCAATATGCTCCACATGCTGTTGCCTTTAAGGAAGCTATGTACAGGTTTGATATTATAAAGAAGTTTGCAGCGAGATATGTCTCATTTCTCACATTCCCATTAAAGTCGGTTTCATGCCATTTTGGGTTCCATGCTTTACTCACACCTTATGCTTATCAATGATGTCTCATTTCTCACATTCCCATTACTAGGGTTTCAAATTTTGAGATGTTACAACTTGCATAGAATTGAGGACATTGAACTTTCGGGTCTTTGGTTCGAAAGCAAAACAGAACCAATGCTCCCCAATTAAGCAAGACCCAAAATCAAGTCGCAGTCACTTATGTTGTAGCCAACGTAATACAAAAGTGTTTGTTGTGCATGTTGGCTAGGATCCCAACGAGCTAGATCACAGGCCATTATGGCTTGTGAAATGCACAAAACCAAGTTGTTATTCATTGTAACACACTTTATTCTGTCATTTCCATTTACAATCTTGTAAATCAACAAAGTATATTAGTAATATAGAAACCTCACCATAAAGTTTGCATCAAATATATGCCTCCTAACTCACCCTTCAACTGCCTGTTGCTCTTGTATCAAAGCCTTACAGACCAATAACATCACTCGGTTACTTACCCTATTATTTCCACTAAGTGAATGCACCAATTGTCGGGGGATGTCTTCATCGAACATCTGATCAAAGGATTGAAACATATTCAAGTGAGTTATCAGATGTGTTATGTTAACATGTACTCAACAAATAACATTACATAAGCTAAGATTTCCACTTACATCTCGCCCTTATCAACTTTAACAGCTCAACTGACTAAGTTGAAAAAAATATCCTTAGGCTCTATAGGCCTATTTACTCTTGATTGTGCCTTCAACTCCAACCAAAGAGACTTGATCTTGCTAAATCGAAACCTAGTAGATGTCCTTAGTTGTTGTGCCTCCACAGATACAGGTTCTAGATCAAGCCTAACATATTCAATAATGGCCAGGGGGATACCTCCATCGGTAAGTGACCCTCTGCATCATCACCTTCAACACTGGGTGACACTTTCCTAGGAGGACTGACTGCAGGTATGTCACCCTCTGTATCATTACCTACAATGCTGCCTAGCACTTTCATGTGGAAACTGGCTGCGGGTATGTCACCCTCCCTATCATAACCTTCAATATTAGGTGGCACTTCCATAGGAGAACTAGTTATGGGTGTTGTACTCTCCATCACAAGTGGTTATGTGTCATCACCCTCTCCATCACCCTTGTGTTCCATGCCCCCTTCGCTCATGTCGTCATTATCCCCTTGACCCTCTTCCTCCATCTCTTTATTCTCACTGTGATCCTCCGTGTCATCCTTCTTATGACTATCTCCATCTTCACTACCTACTTCATCCTTCTCCTTTTCCTCAGTTGTGTCATCATTGTTGCGCCTGTCCTCCTTATCATCTTTAGACCCACTGATAATTGTAGGTATTGTTTCAACTTGAGCCTTTCTTCTTGATTTATCTTTCCCACTATCTCCCTATCTTGGGATTTGCACCTTCATCAGCTTCTCATCCACCATTTTCATCAGCATCTTTTGCCCTTCCTCTATCCTCTTCATTAAGCGCTCGCGTAATTTCTTCAACTCCTACATACAAAAGACATTTATTAACTAAGTATATAGAATAACAAGTTCACTATGGGAAACACCTTCACTATGGCATATGACAAGTTCATTATACAGAATGACAACTTTAGTAAACCAAATCACAACTCACGTATGGCAGATGACAAGTTCGTTATACCGAATGACAAGTTCTGTATACAAAATCACAACTCGCGTATGCCTAATGACAACTTCACTATTGGAAATCACAAGTTTACTTTTGCGAATGACAAGTTCAGTAAACAAAATCGCAACTCAGGTATGGTAGATAACAAGTTCATTATACGGGATGACATGTTCAGTAAACTAAATCATAACTCACGTATGGCAGATGACAAGTTCATTATACCAAATGACAAGTTCAGTATACAAAATCACAACTCACATATGTCAAATGAAAACTTCACTATGGGAAATCACAAGTTTACTTTTGCGAATGATAAGTTCAGTAAACAAAATCACAACTCAGGTATGGCACTTGGCAGGTTCACAATGACAAATGATAGGTTCACAATTTCAGTATACCTAATGACAAGCTCAATATGGCCAATCATAACATAAGTATTGTGAATAACAACTTGAGTTTGCCAAATTACAACTTAACAATAACAAAGCTCTATGTCACTGAAGCGAATCAGAACTTCAATATAGAAAATGACAACTTAACTATGGCAGATAAGAAGTACAGGTTACAAAATAAAAACTTTAGTTTACCAATTATACCACATACCAGGTCCAAAAACTCTACAATTATCCTCTCTTCTTTCCCTATCACAGCTTCACCACCTTTTTCTCCATACATAATTCCCCTAACACTCTTCCTCTTCTTGCTGGCCAATTCTTTTATCTTCTCAGTAGTCTAATATTCAATTGCAGCAGTGGACTCTTGACCAACAGGCATGTTGAGGTTAAAATGCTCACAAAAAAAATGCTACAAGCCAGGCACATATATACAACATTAATGTCATGCACAATAGTACTCAAATGCAAACACATCAAGAAACAAAATAGTAATATCAGAAGCAAGTATATGCAGCCACCACCAGTGTTGCTCCCCTGCCCTTCATTGCCTTACCTATACCCTTTGACATAGTCTCCCATTTCTTTCCAAAGGTCCTCTATAATATAGGCAGCTCAATCATACTTTCCAAAGTCATCTATTCTGCAATACATGACTCTGACAAACTTTTCACTCACTTCTGAGCTTGATTTCAGACATAGAAAACTACCCAGCATGTACAGCATAAATAAAAACTCAAATCTGTGATCCTCCTCCCATGAAGTAATGTCTTTTAGTATTTTATTGAATGACACTTTCTAATATTCATTTCTCAACTCCTGATACATAGTATCACCCTCATCAACCTTCGTTTTCAACTCCTCTATACCTTGACGGATTCCTAGCGACTGCTCAACATCTTGTGCTCCTATTTTCTCTGATTTACCCCTGATTGTAATTTGATGCATTGGCAGGTCATATAATCTCAGTATGGTCACAATGAGATCACAGTGTAGTCTCTTTAATCCAACTTTCACCAACCTCTCAAAGCCCATCCTCTCAACCCTCTCCCTTAAGTCTTCATTATTATTCATAAAGTGCAGTAATTTTCTTAAACCCTTCAGGGACACTTGGGTTAGAAATGATGGGACATGTTTCTTTTTCTCTTCTCCCTTTTATGGCCTTCTTTTTTTTGCCTCCTCAGTGTACCTCATTTTTTCTTCAGTGGACAGAGTTTTCCATGCATTTAACGCAACATCACTTTTCTGTTTGGCTGTCATGTCAGGGTCAACTATTGTGGCCATAAACTCACTTCTGAATAACAACCAACTGTTGTGTGCCTTTTTTGATCCAGAGGCTCCTTCTGATGCCATCTTTCGTTTCCTGCAAAACATTCAATATACAATCCTTCACAACTACATTTACTAACTAACTATCACCTCTGTTAACAACCTATTCTGTAACCAACAGCCTTCTTACATCACCACTACTGACTTCTTATTTTGAAACATGAACTTGTAATTTCATATAAGCAAGTTGTCAATTTCTCAAAATAAACTTGTTATTCTCAACTACTTCTCATGCTTGTTATTTCTCACTATTAACTTGTCATTTACAATTATTAACTAGTTATTTCATATTGTAAAGTTCTTTAATTGTCATACTTGCCTTTGTTATTCTCTACTTGTCATTGTCATTTTTAAACTTGTTATTTCCTATTGTTAACTTGTAAGGAAGCCATGGCAACCTTCTTATTCCCAACTACTCAATAACTTGTTATTCATGATATTAAACTTGTTATTTCCTACTACCAACTTTTAATTACATAATTGTTATTTTACATTATCAACTTGTCAACCCCTACTTCTAACACTTTAACATCTCTTCAAATCAATTAATAGTTAGCCAATTCAATTTGCACTTTACCCATTCCCGTGTCTTCATTTCCCAAACTAATCTTGTCATCCTCCTAATTAATCTTCTCATTCCCTTCCCACCCAAACCCATTTGCACATCTTCTTCCATAGATAAGCATTTTTCGCCAATCAATCATAACTTACTCGACAGAAAAACATATATATACTTTCCTGCCCTAAACGCATTCCCTCTCCTTAATGTATCACATATGTAGCAACCAACACAAACAAACCAAAGGTTCAAACTTACCACTACAATTTGTCGCCGAATGTTGCTGTTAACTTTGATAGCCACACATGATTGTGACGATGCCTCTACCTCCTCCCTTGCCTTTGATAATACCGATAGATCACTACTCCAGCACTACTCTGTTCTCCTCTCCCACAGCAGATACACTCTTTTCTCACACTATACTCCTCTCGCTATAAAATGGAAGCAAACTCCTACGTGAAAATGGACAGAGTATAGAGAATGGTCAAGGGAATACAGAGCAAAGGGAAGTTATCACGCGTTAGGGAGGGGGAGAGCGCAAATATTTTTTTTTCCAAATGAGCGAGGGTCATTTCAAACATTTAACACACATTTCATAATTGCAATTTGGGACCATGTCCTTTACAGCTATTTTATATATTGGGGGTCTTTATTTACAATTTTCCTACAATTTTTGGAACTGTTATTTAAACATATATTTTTGGAAAAATTAATCTTTTAGTCCTTATAGTTTTAGCACATTTGTAACTTAGTCCCTATATTTTGAGTTGATACAACTTAGTCCTTATAATTTTGACTCGATTATAACTCAGTCCCTAAGGTTTGACTTGCTACAACTCGGCTCCTATAGTTTTACCTATTTTATAATTCAGTCCTTGTGTTTTTAAAAAAATAAAATTGTATATCTAATAAAAGGAAGAACTAAATTATAAAATGGTTAAAAGTATAGGGACTGAGTTACAACGAGTCAAACTCGAGGGATTGAATTTCAACCAAGTCAAAACTATAGGGACTGAGTTACACCGAGTCAAAGTATAAATACTGAGTTACAAATGAATGAAAACTATAGGGACCAAGAGATTAATTTTTCTTATATTTTTTTATTTTTTGTTTTCAAGACTTGTTTTAAAAAACAATTTTATAAAATTGTTTTAGGAAAAAAAAACACTAAACAAAAACAAACAGGCCCTATATTACTTGTAAAAAGCAATGTAGTTTTTATGTATTACATCATTGATTGGACTATGTTATATACCACCCTAGATCATAATTAAATGTCTTTATATGAAAATTAAAAGGGTTTTTTTATCATTAAAATTGCAATTACTCTTTAATTTGTTTAATTTTCATGGACTTGTAATGCTACTTGAACTTGAATTGCATTATAGGTACATTGCAAGGTGAAGATTGGAGATGCAAAGGCCCAAGTGATTTCAACCTTTTGTTTACCCTTGGAAGTTAAATTTAAAGATTATCCAAGGATTGCACTATAGGGTGCAATCCCAGGTCGTTCACTTAAGTAGAGCCTTAAACGAATGGACTTAAATTAACTATATGCCATGAAATGTAAACTGATTGGGAAAAAAGGATTTTCATTTGTAACTATGAATTGAATTAAATTAAAATGTAAAAGTATTTTTTTGGTTTTTGGGAGATTAAAAATGAAATGATAGAAAACAAGTGTTTAAACAGTGATAGAAACCTCTTGAAAGTGAACTTAGGCTATCATAGTTCAAAATTGATTTTAATGGGAGTAAAACTTCACTAAGTTCCTGAAGGGAGAACCTCAAAATACTCTTTAAGTCTAGGATCTTATTCAATGGCACCCCATTTCATAGGATCCTATTAAGTGTACTTAGTGTGTGTGGTAGGATTAGCTAATGCAATTCAAAATCAGCTCAATATCAAAACACAACCATGCAAGATAAGAGAGAATCACGAGGATTACAATGGAACATATATGTAACTTCATATATATATAAGCATAGAAATTCTACATTAACCAATCCAACTACACATAATGAATATCCAAAGCTGATTATAACCATAATCAAATAGCTTAGCTATAAATTACAAACCCTAAACTTAGGAAATCATAAATCTATAACTAAACCATAGATTAAGCTACTCCCCTTTTATGCTCCTTAAACTCAAGCCATTTTTATACCTTCAAGAGGAAAAGAAATGCCTAGCCACACATTGAGCTTTGAAACTTCACCAGTGGAAATGAATCTAAGCTGCCCATGGTGGAGGTTTTGACAGTGGAAATGGAGGAGAGTTAGGGTTAGATGAAATAAAGTGAGAGAGAGTGAGAGATGGAGGTTGTGTAATGAATAAATGACGCCACTTACCCAAAATAGGGTTTCTAATTTGGTCATAGGGTGAATTGGGTCAGTTTCCATGAGTAGGTAAGTAAATTTTTCAAAAAAGGTTAGATCTAGGTTACTGATTCGAAGGTTTCGTCGTGGCGAACCATTCCTGCGAGGTGTTTTGCTTGATTTGGTGACTTAGCCACGGTGAACTTTGCCTGAGAGGTCTCTAATGAAATCCCAAGTTGCACCATGGTGAAGTATAGCTTTCACCATGGCGAACTCTTCCAGTGCTAATACTCTTGATCTTGTGTGTTGTAATCTGTTGGTCTTCACATCTTGACTCTACTTTTTGATTGTCCTGCAATGAAAAGCAAAGTTTGAAGTATCAATTGTCCTAGAAGTCAATTGAATGCAATTAATAAAATTATGATAATTTTACCCTCAAATGACACTAATTCAAAACAAAGACTCTCAATCTCAATTAAGCACAAATATCACTGAAAGGAGCCAAAAAGTAAACAAAAACCTGAAAATATATCAAATAATGAAAAAATTTGGTGCTCAATCACCAAGCAAGGGATAATATGGCATCATACATAAATACATCCATACATTGCTCAAGAAAATCAGAGGAAAATGGAAAACATACAATGCTGAAATGTACTAAGAACATTACATAAACCAAATAGCATCGTCATACCTAATAATTATAACTTAAAAGATGAGAAACTTAGAATTGACCGAAGGCTAGGTAGTAGTAGTAGAGAGACAAAGACGAAACAAGTTTTGAAAGTGAAACCCAGGTAAGGACTGAACTATCATTTGAAAAGTTTCAGTCAAAGAAGGGTAAAATTGGAAATTATGCCCAAAATTTCTAAAAATTGTCAAAATTTTATGAAAAA